AATTCTTTTCCCCCCCCCCCCCCCCAGGGGACGCCCATGCTCATTGACAATGTATACATTGGTGACAAGCCGAATTGAGTCTTATTTTTATTTATTTATTTATTTATTTATTTATTTATTTATTTATTTTGTTTTATCTGTATTTTAAGAGGTGACATAATTATAATAATCATTATTCAGGCTGATAATATAGAAGAAAACGAAAATAAACATTGCTATAATACTACAAGTTACAGAATTGGAATAATTGGTGGGTCTCTATAAAACGTGAAAGAAATAAGCAAATTAAATTCAACTGATTTTGGGCGAATATGTAAATTCGAGAGAGCAGTCAGTTTATATTGGTAAAATGAATTATGAATAAAATCGGAATGCAGTTCTACAAAATTATCAGGAGCACAGAAAAGGACGAATTCTCATGCATTAGAATTATTGTGACTCTATGTGTCTGGCCACGTTGGATGGCGGATTAAATTTGATTTTATAATAATAATAATAATAATAATAATAATAATAATAATAATAATAATATATTCAAAATTGACAAATCGCTGGTTCCTTTTTTTTACAGCTTTACAACACCAGTAACAATATTCATTGAAACATCATGGTCTCACCCACATGAAAACATGGAGACCCCCATGTTCCACACAACTACAACAACTCCCTTTTAATTTGCTCACTAGAGGGCACCTCTTTGCGTTGTCACCTCTAGCACAATACAATTCTTGACAATATATTTCTGACAACTAAAGCAAGTGTCGTGAAAAGACTAATATATTTGCTAGAAACATTTGATTGTGTGCGGGGATGTGGATGTGTATGTTAAGTTGAATGAATGTTTGGATGAGGTGGATAAATGTTACGTGTGCTTGTATCTAACAGACGTTGAGAATTGGGAAAAATACAACTAAGGTCTTTTATTTCACTTGATATATTATTATTCTTAATGGCTAACATAAAATCGGCTTTATGAACTGCAAAGGTTAAAATTCAGACAACATCAAGAAAAGAGACTTTTTTTGAAAAATGCTGCATTAGGTATGATATACCAAATGTAATCGACTCCCATTGTAATTTAAAAAAAAAACAAACAAACTTAAACGCTTTGGAAAAATAAATTGGGAGGAAAGGCCGTTTTCAGTTCATTTTCGTCAAAAAGTCGCGGTGCAGTAATTCTAATAAAAAACTCTTTTCAATACGAAATTCATAACGAATATGTAGGTGCAGATGAACATTACATTAACTTAGAAATCAGTATATAGGATGACTTAAGTAGTTCTTTACCGACCAAATAATGACCACCCATCCTTTTTTTGAAAACATGTCACGTATGATTGGAAATCTATTGATAATTATGGCAGGAGAATAGAATGTACCTCTCATTTATTCAAAAGACACAAATATTTATAAAATCAAGAATTATGAAAAATCAAATGAGGCAATTTGTCCCTGGCTAACGAATTAGGTTTAATTAACGTGTGGAAAGAACAACACTCTGACGAAAGGATATGCATGAAAAAACACTTTTTATTTGTTTATTTACAAAATGTTATCCAAAGATGATCCCAGATCTTTGAACACCCTTTCCTGACAAAAAGGTGATCTTTTATCCTTTATTTTGTAAAAAGGTCAATTTTTTCAACTTTGACCTCTTTAAAAGATCCTCACTCACATTTTCATTAACTTTCAGTTTTCAAAAGTTCGACTATCACCTTTTACGGGGCGAAAGGCCACTTTTTGCTCCAGCTTTTGTTAACTGGACATTGTAGCAACACTATTACGTCTTTCCGATCAAGTAATGGCGTCTAAACACAACGTCTTTATAATCCTTTTCGTATCTAGTATAGGCTATTTTGCAGCGTTTTTACTACCCATTTTATTACATTTATTATTACCTTTTTTATTCCCGATCAACTAAATACACTTTTAGGTACAGCGTCACTATTACCCTTTTCCGATAAAATAAAGTCGACTAAACTTATGACCTTGATAATATTTCAAAATTTTGTAGCATTTGTAGCAGTTCACTTAATGAGAGGGAGGGCCCAGTTTTATAAAGGACGTTTAGCACTAACCAGTGAATAAGCCTAACCAGTGGATAAATTCTCCTAACACCCATTAACTAAAAGATGGTTAAATTGTGTTTCATATACAGTCTTCTGACGGAAAACAGCCAATTAGTAAACTGGTCAGTGTTTAACTGGATTAAATAATTATTTAAAGGCCAGTTTACTAACAAACTGTTTAGGTCTGGTTAGAGTTAAACACTGGTTAGTGCTAAACGTCCTTTATAAAACTGGGCCCTGGCTTATGTGTAAATCATTGAAACTGCACAAGCTATATACACCTACCACATTGTGTCTGTGGATCACATCTAATGCAATCAGCCANACAGTTCCCATCCAGCCCATACCCTTTTTAAATTTTTACCTAGCAATTCGAGACTCTTAGCTTTTAAGGGTAGTAAGCGATTTTTAAATAGCTTTTATCCTTCGGCAGTAACTATTTTTAACTCTAACATGTAATTTTAATTTTCATTTTTTTTTTTATATTTCAATGGCGCTACTACAGGGCAAAAGATTCCCGATTTTATACATTTGTATTTTATTGGCTTAATAAATTATTATTATTATTATTATTATTATTATTATTTAAAATAAATGGTAAATTGGCAAAAAAAATCACACTCACAAGTGGGGTCATCTGGTTTCCATGGTAACAGTTTCTCCGCAGCTACAATTTGTTTGAGATTTTTCCAAGTTCTACCTTTTTTACTAGCTGCTGCTTCTTGCCTGGCTTGCTGTAAAGTAAAAGTGGAAAACACCTGTAGAATTATGCATTATTATATTTTAATTGTATCTTTATAATAAATTAAGTAATATATTTATTTATTCCAGGTAATGCAAACAAGCTATGAAATGCTACTTTTACCTTCTTTATATACCAGATGTTAAATCTTTTAATACTGTCAGACAAACATAAAATACTGTATTTCATAGTTTTCATAGATAAAACAAAACAAAACACACCCCAAAATCAAACAAATACATAAAATGCACATCTTAAGAGTACACGAGAAAAGTATTAAGAAATTTAACAGAAATACTTCACTCAAGTCTATTACGCACTACAAAGTTAGGATCCTTAAAAACTGGGATCTTCTCAGTGCTGACATCTGGTGGGACCGTGAGAGGGCTAGGTCCTGGAGCTGGCGTGCTACATGCTGATGGAGAAGACGAGTTGGGGTTGGTGGGGACGGGCGTGGCTGGTGCCGTGGGAACTTCAGACTCCTCTGGGATCTCCTCTGTTGCTGTGGAGGCAGGCTGAAATATATATGTCATTGGTATCTGTTATATGTTACTATGAGGAACCATTCTCATAACCCTATCTTACTAGCAGGATCGATCGATCTATCTCCAAGGGGAGTTAGATCTATCCTGCTTGTATGATAGGTTTATGTGAACCCTGTCTAAGATATTTATTGTGTTCAAAAAGATTATCAATCAGTGAGTTGCCCAGTTCAGGAAATGAACATATTTCAAGGATTGTTTAATTTTTTTAAATCATTTTCTGATCAAGTAACATTAAACATGTTCAGTAGTTTTAATATTCTGCTTAACCAGTGTCTGGTTTCAAGAATAAGGCCACATTCAGAATCGTGGATTGACTAATCCACGGGTCAAATATGGTGACTCACTAAAAAGCTTGTCGTCTCATCAGCTACGTAATAGACACAATAGATTTTCCTTGGGGTAGTATTCAAGTGGGTCTGCCATATTTGACCCTCGGACTAGTTAGTCCACTGTTTTGAAAACAGCCAAAGATTTAAATGAAGAGTTAAAAGCCCCACGATTTTCCTATTCTTAAAAAGTTTTCCAACTATTATGCACTTAATAAAAGTTTGACGGTGACATGAAGAAACAAGATTGATTCATAACATTAACAATGATGAACAGATATGCCAATACTATAATCTTCGTGTGTCTGTGCACATGTGAAAATCAAGTAATCACATTATTTGAAAGAAATGCATCTCAAGTCTTACAACAGTTAACATTGGCATCCGCTTTGCCATTTCTCCAAAAAATAAAATAATGTAACATACACTTCACCTATTTTGTGTGTGTAAATGTCATGCATTCAGAAATGAAACTGAACTGAATGGTAGTATTTATTCATCAGTATTTATTCATCACATTATTTAAAAAAATTATAATAATAATAAAGAAATAGCAGACATTTTTTCAATTATGTTTTGCAAGCATGGTCTAATGAATTTGCCTTTTTTTCAGTCATAGGAAACTGCAGAAGGGCACAAATTTGTAAGGCAACAACAGATTTTCAAAATCTTGTCAATGTTAGGCTCACTCTCTCCACTTCTCACTTTTAAATACTCTGCAGGAATATTGTCAAATATTTTGAATTTGCTACAAATAAGTCCAATGAGACGCCCTGTGCGAATTTTCAAACCAGCAATTTTACGCTTCTTTTTCACATCCAGAGGGCATAACTGTATTTTTCCCGATGTAGTACCTGCCAATTCTGCTTGGTACAAATTAAAAGATTCGGCTGTATCAGTAGAAAACCTCTTGTCGATCATAACAAAGTCGCCTGGTTGGAAATTATCAAGCATTCCCGATTCTTCAGCAATTTGTCTATCTGAGGTTTCAAAGTTACAACTCTCAGAAACGCAAGTAACTGTGCCTTGGGGCGATATCCCTATCAGGTACTTTACTGTATCTGGACATGTGTTACTTGAAAAGCCACACACCTTGCTTATATGGGCATTAGGTTTCTCCACACTGAGCTCAAAGCTATCAAAAACAAAGAGAACCTTATCCCCAAAGTCTTCCTTGAAAGTCGCTGGCATTGAAGCTGTCAGTGTTTCCCTATCTGGCCACTTCACTATGAAACTCAGCCTTTGGTGTAGGAGATTGAGAGTGGAATAGAAATGTCTGTAGACTGTAACATGTGACACGTCTAACTGATATGCAATGTCTTGGATGGTGTAATTCATTTTTAGTTTTATAAGGCATAACATGAATTGGGCTTCCTTTGTCAGACTTCTTGTTTCAGTCATGTGCGCTTCTACATAGTCAAAAACAAGTTTCAAGGTTTCGAAACTAGGCAAGCCTGTGTAAAAAGAAATTTTATCAGGATTATTCTCGTATGCCTCAAAACTGTATAAACCATGCCGTCCGAAAGGTGGTTTGCTGCCTGCTTCTGCCACTCTAGCTCTGTTATCATTTTCAATATTCTCAATGTCTTTTGCGGTTAATTCAGTCTGCGTCTCTTTGGTATTACTTGTACAATTGTGTACTTCTAAATTTGCACCTTGCGGTTCCACTTTAACTTCAACTTCTGCAATAAGTGAGGGATCTAAACTATTAATGCCATTGATGTGGCTGTTCTCTGCAAGTGTTCCAGATTTCGAAGCAAGTCTAGGTTTCTTTGGGCTTGACAGTGATGGAGCTGCATCTGATAATTCCTTCCTTTCCTTGCGCTGAACGGCACGCTCGTATCGTCTCATGGCAGATTCTGGGACAGTACATGCTGTGTAGCCCAGGTTAAGTGTTGGTAGCCAGGAAGGATTTAATCTATCGTGCAGATATGCTTTTTCTCCTGAAAAGAGCAGAGTAATGTTTTCTTAAATCAAATGGAATGAAGACCATTAATGATAATGAAGGGAACAATTAACTTTGCTTCAGCAGATCTTAGTATTTTCATTGATTAATGGTGAGATAATATGCATTCTGTATTGCACTAGTCTCAAGAAGATCAAAGTGGGTAATAAATAGTTATGACAAAGAGCAACATAATAATTGTACTTTGCAAACGTACCAAACAAAGTTAAAGATTATATCATGATACTAGTACACTTACCATCTACAAAGTGTTTAGCGCAAAGCGTGGTTCGATCCCACTTCTCCTCCGATCTGATGTCCTTTCTATTTACTGCCGCCTTCCATAACCGCCGCCTCTCTTCCGATAGTCTCCGTGTCTCTTCCCCTTGGTTTTTGATAATTCTGGGGATTTTGTAAAATCGAAGACCTTTTTCTTTATTACTGTTACTTGGACAACCAACGATACCACATATTCGCATGATTCTTTGCTAGGATTTAGTGCGGTAAAACGCTGTAACCCCTCTGCTTATCTAAAGTTTTTGCAGTTGCACGCTTCACTACAGCGTTTTCTCATTGCCTTGCTAAACAAGATGGCGGGTACCGGAAGTGAACTAATTTTGATACTTCCGTGAAAACAAAGGTGTAGTAACTGCTAATTTATAACAAAAGCACGCCGTACAATAAAAATTTTTTTTAGAACAAATAATATCATTATGATTATATACAATCCAATATCTCGGAGTCTTTCTTGTAACCTTCGGGTAAGGGGGAGGGGAGGGGGTTTAGTAGCCTCTTCAGATGTGCCGATAACCCCCTCGATCTGTCTTCATATTTCCTTCCTACATCCAAATTTCGAGGTGAGAAACCACCATATCAAAAGATTCAGTGAGTTTTTCACACGGCCAGTTAAATCCTTATCTAAGAAAATCAGGGACGTCTGGATATTTAACAGAAGATTTAACGTGTTCAACATTTAAAGCTATGCATCTCACTCAAAACAGCAATGAAACCATGTTAAAGTGGCTGGGTAGAGTAAAAGATGTCCCTAGACCTACCGTTCCTGGTCGTTTCTTTCTCGTGCTTGGGGTTGCTGACCCAGGGCTGACAGAACGTTTGGTGCTTGCAGCGCGTCGCGGTCTTGTGGAAGTTGCCATATTGTAAACAACAACGATTGCGATAGAGAAGACAACGCAACGCAATAAATGTGTCAAAAAAAAAAAAAAAAAATTATGAATGAAATATGGCTGAAACGTGTGTCTTGTTATAAAACCATGAAAGGATAAAAGAAACCCAGAGGCGGATCCAGGATTATTATTATTATTATTATTATTTTTTTTTTTGGGGGGGTCCGGTTTTTAGGAATGATCGACAGGTCGCGGATGCGAAGCCGACCCTCGCTCCCTCCCACCCCCCAAAGCGTGGGGTTCAGGGCCCGTACGTTAAAATGCCCTGAAAATTTGGTATTTTAGGGGAAGAACGGTGCCATTTGATACGGTTTAGAACTATGATTCAGTTAGTAAAAATTCTAATTTCTAGAAGTGATCATTGGTGTGATATTTTGTTGGGGGGGGGGGGGGGGGGGGGGGGGGGGGGGGGGGGGGGCTTAAAAATGAAATTTAAAAAATATTTACAAAATTAATAAATTTCAATGATGTTTGTGGTTGAGATA